TTATATATATATATATATATATATATATATATATATATATATATATATATATATATATATATATATATATATATATATATATAATAAAAATATAATACTCCGCATTTAAAAATAAATCTATTAATATTAAATTTATATGACAATTCAATTTATTTATTTAGTAATTTATGATCAAAATTTGAGAAATTGACCAAGAAAATCAAAATGGGATAAAAAAAAATATAAAAGGAGTGTACCTTTTTATTTTCATCTCCTTTATCTCCTTAGTTTTTAGCCATTTAGGGCAGGCGGAGTATATACTTCCTACATATGGAGTATATTCCATCTAATTAATAACGTATGTTTCAGTTTAAAATATTTAATTAAAATTATTTTTAATTTAATTTATTTGAAGATTGGAATGGAATTAAAAAATAAACATTATATATTTAAAAAGGGCATAAAAAAATTTCGAAACAAGAGGTGACATAACTGTCTTATTTTATCAAATACTCGTAACAAAAACAGTGAAATAAAGTTAATAAAATTTGATCCTGGAATAGTGAATACGCAGACAAGATAATTTGGGACGGGGGACTAAGGAGTATTTATTTTTTACATAGAAACACGTCTTTATACATAAAATAGATATTTACAAATAATTAAATTTACCAAACAGTTTAAAATAATTAACCAACACATACCAGCTAAACTTATATAGGTCATTCAAAACTAGTCAATACAAACAACCCCCAACTAATTTGCCTCTTCATTCTTTTGTTTTTGGCAAAAATCTGCATATTGCACCAATGCACTTTTTTTTGCCCAAAAAAAATGATCGAATAAAGCTGCAATAAGTAGGCTCGCGGGGGTACTCCAAATTTGCAACTACGCATACATGCAGCATGAGAAGCCGTTGCCTCGATTACTGCCATTTCAAATGATTTTCGCTTCTTGTTCCCGAAACGTCCCTGTTTGGGTACATTCCGACACTCAAATACTTCATAAACATTTGGGTTTTCCCCTCGCCCAAAACCCCGTCCTTGTGTCCATTTCCATGCAACTTAGGCTGCCACACTGGGAAGGTTGGCCTGCCAACAATGACAGATGAAGTTGAGATAATACTCATCGATGCTGTGAAACAGACTAGACTTTGTTCTTTTTTGTTCGAAAAATTAACTTCTAACTTTTTCTAATTCCTTCCAAATTCCTGCAAACAAGTACTAAG